TCTGTCCTAACAAATCTTGTTGGTGACTTTGGTGTGTTGACATATTAGTAGGCTGTGTCCTTCTTAGCCCTGCTAAGTGTTTATTGCCTTTTCCATTGTAAACACCTAGCTGTTTCAGGTTTTCAATGTTTTGTTCTATTTCTCTCCAGGCTGAAATGCCTCATAAAGGATCTCAACCACTTCCCTCTCTTCATTTAAATCCCTTTAAAAAACCACAGGGGGGGCAGATGCCCAGCCTAACTCCATCATCCGATAGGGAATTTCACTCAGAGAAAACAGGATAAGTGTAGAGGAATGGGGATGGGAAGAAGAAATGAATGGGTGTTAAGACAAGCATTATGGATGGGAGCAGAAATGATGGAGGTGGAGATTAATGGATTAAACTTTTCCCCCCTACATTATAAATGTAAATACAATAGATGGTCTTGCTGGAAGAATAGATTAGAGAAACTGCCTTTTACCCCTGAAAGCTTGTGTTAAACTCCCGATTACATCAAAAATTAAGAGGAGTTTGGTGGTCCTCTTGTAAATCTTGGTACGGTCCCCCCAGAATAGCATAGGTTGGCATGAATTGCAGGTTTCTCCTCAAGAGATTACAGGACTGGAATAGCTGGAGGCTACAGGGCAGGATTATGGGGCATTGGCAGAGCAGTGAGGGGAGCCCAGGGCTGGACTAGCACGGGGGCTGCGGGCAGGACTGAGGGGCATTGGCAGGGATGTGTGGGGAGCCCAGCACTGGAATAGCAGCGGGGCTGCAGGGCAGGACTGAGGGGCATTGGCAGACCTATGCACAAGCACTAAGGAATGGCAATAAGCAGCTCTTTGTATCAAACCATTTCCTTGTCCTCTCCTTTGCTTCTCTCCCATTGTGTTGGAGATTCACTGTCAAGCCCTACCTGCTTTCCATCTCTTCATAAGGCTTAGGTTATTTACCACTTCTATAAAGTAGAACTACAAGCATTCAACGTTAGGAGTCAGGCCTCCATAATCCAGAGATTGGCTTAACAATTTGGAGACCTTAAAGATAGTACATTTGGGGTTCTTTTTATTTGCTGTATGGCTTTTCAGCCTTTGAGGTTCACATTTTCAGGCATTTTCTCCTCAGTCACAAAGGCTAAAAATTAGCACTGGTCAGACTATGGGTATGAGTTTTTTCCAGTGATGGAAAAGGTATTTCTCCGGGAGGCAAAACAGGCAACACAGTGCTAAATGTCAGCAGCTTCATTCCACTGCAAACCACCTCTTCCTTTTCTTATGGGCAGGTCCCACCTCTCAGTGCTCAGGCTGGTTGTATATTATTGCAGTCCTTGGGATTATTACACTGATTCTGCTAGTTACTGTGATCCTCTTAGCTCTGCACTGTGTAAAGATGTGATGGTAAGTGCTGCAGACCAATTGACACAGAGTAAGTCACTTTTATTCAAGAATTTGTTTTCATGAAAATATGATCAGACATCAGATCAGGATGTGGAAGGACCCCCTTCAGCTATATCCCCGTCACAATTCACTTGTCCAGCCACTTCACAGCTGCACTCAGATAATATCTAACTCTCCCAGGTGGTTTTGTGTATAATGGGCCATTTTATTCTTTACTAAGCAAGTTCTGACACCATCCATGTTTTGGTGGAATTACCAATCAGGCTAACCACCTTTTTATCTGCCCTTTTTATCTGAGGCCACTTTTTAGAAGTGGTAACTTAATTTTAGATTTTTCAAGTTGGATGGGAGATAACCCCACAAATACACCAAATACCTTAACCATCATACTGTTAGTGTAGCCAGTAGTTGCTTCCATAACTGCTGAGTCAAGGCCAGGACTAAGGGAAACCCTGTGTGCTGCCACCAGGCAACACAAGGTGTGTTAGTCTTGGACCTTGTGCGCCCAAGAGAACAAAAGGCTCTGTGCCAGGAGCTTCAAATAAAAAATCCTCATAGTAATGGCAGCAGGGCCCCAGTGGATATCAGGGTGCAATTTCAGAAAAGTATTGCAGCTGTCAATATCAGACATATGGAGGCATTTAGCCATTTGTGGAGATAAGAAAAAGGTCCTGTGGGGATTGGTGTCTGTCTGGACAGACAGCACATCGTGCTGGGGATGGGAGTGACAATGGAACACTTGGCTTTTGCAAAGAATGGAGTGTAGAAAGCAGCCCCACTACTGACAGGAGCTGAATAATTTCCCACAGGCCTGCAAAATGTGTTTCTTTCCATCTCATGATTGTTCTCCCAGGAAATTGTTAGAATGAAGACAAAACAGCAGCTCCTGTGGCAGTTGTTGTGTGGGTATGGGAATGGGGAAAGGTGGAGGAAACTGATACAAGCAAGAGGCCTAAAGAAGGCATGTTGTGGCAATGGCTCCCCATTCATATTCCTGATCACCAGTTCTTGGCCATGCTGAAATTTATGACAAAACCCAAAATCACACAACTCCTCTCCTACTCCCCATGAGAAGGCACTCACTCCAGTCCGGTTATACATTCAAAATAAAAGTCTGTAATTAACACCATTTGTCTCAATCTTTTCCAGATAACTCAACTCAGCAAGTCTCTCTTCAATGAAAGATCATCAAATGCTGGTTGAAAGTGCTCATAAATTACTCTTTCTTTGAAATGACTTTGATAAAAGATAGGCTTCCAGTTTGATCACTGTGACACTCTGTACCTTGGGGGAACACCCTACACCCCCATGTTCATCCTTATAATATGATTGTGTGGGATCCAATGCAAAGTTTGTCATGTTGGATATCTTCGTAAGGCTCATGATGCACTGAGCATTGTTGTTATAGTGATGTTATAGGTTGTAATTTCATGTATATAGTTATGAGGCTGAAAATGTGTCCTCATGACTTAAAACAAGCCCAGGCAAAACTCTCCAGGAGAAGAGGAGCAGTTCACACCTCATCAGGTCATGTATGGGACAAACCCAGCCCAGCCTCACAGGAACAAAGCACACTGGCCTAGGGAGCAACAAAGGATCTGTTGGACTCTAGAGTGAATCACCCCCCTTACCTTGGTCAGTTTGGGATTACAGTGAGGTAATGCTCACCTGACTCTGAAGGGGTAGGGTACAAAGCCAAGAGGGAAGAAAGAACAAGATAAAAGGGAGAGACATTTGCCATGCTCTCTCTCTTCCATCTCCATCTACAGACATCACCACCAAGCGACTGAAGCGCTGATCAAAGGGGAGAGCCTGGCTGAAGGGCAACCAGCCAGCCTGTAGTGAGAATCATAGAATCATGGAATATCAGGGTTGGAAGGGACCTCAGGAGGTCATCTAGTCCAACGCCCTGCTCAAAGCAGGACCAATACCCAACTAAATCATCCCAGCCGGGGCTTTGTCAAGCCTGACCTTAAAAACCTCTAAGGAATCAGATTCCACCACCTCCCTAGGTAACCCATTCCAGTGCTTCACCACCCTCCTAGTGAAAAAGTTTTTCCTAATATCCAAGTTTTGGATCTAAGCATCTAAGTCTGTAAGGGCATTGGAAGCATTAAGATCATCTTAGAATGAGTTTTGCTTTTATTTCATTTGACCAAATCTGACTTCTTGTGCTTTGACTTATAATCACTTAAAATCTATCTTTTGTAGATAATAAATTTGTTTGTTTATTCTACCTGAAGCAGTGCATGTGGTTTGAAATGTGTCAGAGACTCCCCTTGGGATAACAAGCATGGTGCATATCAATTTCTTTGTTAAATTGATGAACTCATATAAGCTTGCAGTGTCCAGCGGGCATAACTGAACACTGCAAGATGGAGGTTCCTAAGGTTGTGTCTGGGACCAGAGATATAGGCTAGTGTCATTCGGTTGCACAATCCAAGCAGTGGCTGGCCAAAAATGCTCACTCACATAGTTGGGAGCGGCTTACATGCTAGAGGCTGTGCATGAACAGCCCAGGGGTGGGGATTCTCACAGCAGAGAAGGGTAAGGCTGGCTCCCAGAGTCAAGGATTGGCGTGACCTAGCAGATCACTGGTCCAGATAACACCAGGGGACCGTCACAATCACACTGTAGTTGCGTCTCATCCATGTAGTTTCTTTGAAAACTGAACCATTTGAATTTATTGCTTATTTCCATAATGCCAGCAATTATCAAATGATCGGCTTTGTACATAGATATTGTCCTAAGATGCAAAATTCAAACCTGAAGTTAGAGCTTGTCTGCACAGAGAACTGTATTGATATACTATGGAACTTATGTTATTGTTTTCAATGCACTGTATTGATTTCTGATGAGCCTATTGTAAACAATAAAGAGTTTTATTAAAAAACAGCTCGAGCTTGTAGTGTTGGCAGCTGCCCTTAAGGGAAATAGTAGTGAAATTGGAAAAAATAGTATTGATAAGGCAAAGATATGAATTTTTTGTACTGAGCATAGCATGCTCACTACTTCATTTTGCACACCGCAGATACATGCACTCGGCCAGAATCATGCTTGGTATAACTTCACACAGCAACAGAGGAGAGAAACATTTTTTTTAAAATTAGGGGGAAATGTAGTTGTACAACCATAAGAATTGGCAGGAGGCCTTGCAGGCAGCTGAAGAACCTGAAATGACTAATGACAATATATATAATAAATTGACTAGATTTCAAATTGAGGTTGTCTCTTTAGTAATACCTGTCTTTAACTTATGGATCTCAAATAACCTTATACTAACAAATTAAATCTCCAATCTACACTAATTAGTCCCTTCATTAGAAGCAAGAGAAGGCCATGAAGCTATGGAGTCTAAAAAGATATGGGGTTTTATGTCATTTGTCCAGTAAAACAGCAGAAACCAAAAGTTATAATCTGTAGCAGAACTATGTACTGGAAAATCTCGTTGCTAGCTCCTGCCCTACCTGCCACATAAAATCCTAGCCCTTACAGTAAGTCATCGGTTCAGAAATGGGGAGCTCCAGAGTAAACTGCATATATGCAAATATGGAGATGAGAAACAATTTTCAAACCAATTAGAAATCATCACTGACTATAAGCCAGACAGACGCGTAAGCAGATAACCAGGTGTCAGGTTGCTGCACAAGGATCTTCAGTGGAGAGGTCAATCTTCTGAAGGTAACTATGAACAGAGAGCTGTGTGTGTGTGTCTGTGTATGTGTGTGTGTGTAGCTCACTAAAACTGAAGGGGGGATAATCTTTTGACTAAAATAAGGAATTGTGAATTAAAAAGATTTAAGGTGTCATCTTGGTTGGTCACTGCGAAATTGGCATACAGAGTTCCCATATCCTGTCTGCTGGCATGTGGCTTTGGCACACAGCCCATTACAATGTTTTAGACATCTTCAGCTGAGAAGTTTAATGTCTCCCTCATTCTCAGCAGAGGGAAGTTATTACTGCATATGTGGGACTATTAGCTGAGTCTGTGGTTTTCAGTTGTCAGTGTTTGGTTTCTACTTAGTGTTTCTTAGGTTCTGTCCAGAAATATCTGGCTGTTGATGGTTGCTGGCAGACAAAAATCAACGGATGACAGATGGGCAGGTGTTTAGCAGGTTCTTTTAGTTCCCTGCTCAGCTCTGGTTTCATTTTGGATGTTGTGGTCAGATCAGTTGATCAGGTCTTTAATTCATCAGTCTGGGGATTCTCAGGTACAGCTTGCTTCGCGGCCCATGGCTTCTTAGGCTCCAGATCAGGATAATGTAATCTCTGGCCCTTCAGCAGTGGGCAAACAAAATCTCTCTCTCTCACCCACACATGCACGCGTGCACACACACAAACATATAAAGCCTCTTTGACTCAGGGCATTTTCCTCTCTGATGAGATATATGACAATCTCTTTTTCTGAAGTGTTAAAACTAGGCTGTCCAGGCTTTCTTAATTATAAAACTTTAGAGAAGACTTGGAAGTCACCTTTCTGAAGAAGACTGAATAATAAGGGTTGAAATGCCAAGGAGGGGAGGAACTGTGTAAGTGACCAACAAGGGTATAAACAGAAGAAAACAGGAAAAAACTTCACAAAGGGAAAAATAGGTTGCCTGTTCAGAAACATTTGAGAAGGGGAAATGGCCATATGGCTAAATCACAGACCTTGGCATCAGGAGACTTGGGCTCTGTTCTTGGCTTTGCCATAGGCTTCCTAGCTGAATGTGGCAAGTCACTTCACTTCTGTTCTATGTCTCGGTTTTCCCATCTGTAAAATGCAAATAATAATGCTCACCTCGGTGTTAAGATTAATTCATGAATGTTTGTAAAATCTGCAGAACTTTGGAAGGAAGGTGCTTTAAAAATTCAAAGTATGGAGTCAAATCTTTTGAGACTGTGGAATTGTCTCCAAGGAGGAGAGAGATTCTCTGAAAAAAACTTTGTATATTAGAAATCAAAATAAATAGTTACTAAAATTAAATGGGCTGGTCAAAGCTGATGTTACAACTTTATCGGAACTTCTCTCTCTTTTGCTTCTCACCCATCTCCTTTTGTCTGGAATCCTCTGACTGCTTAGATTGTCCTGGCTTTTTCCTTGGTCTCAGTTCAATGACTCTGATTCCTGATGGTTCTATCTCAGGGTTTCTCTCTGCCCTTTTACCCACTCTCTTAGCCTTTCCTGATAAGTGCTGCCTCCCTTGATATATTATCCACATAGTATTAGCTCTGTGAGGGTTGAACAAGATAATTAAAAGAATGCAAACAGGATGGAGTGACCTTGTTCAGCAGGCACAGCATAGAACAGACATTTTAGTGACTTGAGAAAGGTAACTAGTAAAATGTTAGACAAGTATCTGAAATCTCTTAATATGGAAAATTTTAAACCCTTTCTTTTGGGAATTGTTCCTACAGGCTGCTTTACAGACAGGTTATCGGGGACAGGGTAAAACTGTCTAATATAGGGAAGGGTTAATTCCGCAGAGATGGGAGTTTGTGATATTTCACACCTTGCCCTGGAATTCTGTCCATTAACAGAAAACTCAATATTCAAGATCCCTAGCAATCTTCAGCATTTCCTGGGGATGCAATTCCTGTGATAAACTGTAACAAAGTCTGCTTATTGGGAAAGAAACAGAACAGTGTTCCTGCTGATATGCCTGGCACCAGATCACAGAAGTTAGATGTGGGAAGTGCCTATTACTCCTGTCTTGATTGCAGGGGACTGGACGAGGTGACCTATTGCGGTCCCTTCCAGTCCTACACTTCTGTGATTCTATGATATTTGCATGTCTGGACATCTTCCCTACTTCATTCCTTTTGACCTTATAACTCATTATTTTCAAGGCCTTTCTTTACAACACATATATATTTCCTTAACCAAACTTAAGCTAACTCTAATTCTTTATTTATATTATCCTACATGTGTGTAACCTGAACCTCTTGTTCTCAGGTAGATTATGGAGAAGGCAGGCCTGGGGATTTGCTTTACATACACCCGTAGCTCCTTTCAGCTGGACACTGAAACCTTCATTTTTCTTCTTCACCTGTCACTCAGGCTTCACACAAGATACCAACTATGCTGAAGAAGATCTTGATCCTCCCAGCCCTGCTTGTTTTGCTTATGCCTCCTCTCATACAAGCACAAGGTAACCTGAACACATTATGAAAGTCCCTGAAGTCACACAGGGATGGATTTGATCCATACTCTTTCTTTCTCCAGCTTAAGGCTCTCACAATCCTCTCTTCTGTGCTTCTTACCCAGAAAATCCAGTTATTTCAATATTGTTATTATTTGTTGCCCCTCTGACAATGTGCTCATTGCTGTACAAGAATCAGAGAAAAAGGCACAGTTAGTCCCTGTTCCCCTAAACTGCCAGCCCCCGAAAAAAACAGCCTCAGGAGCAAGCCGGAGAGAAAAACTAAACTAAAATAAAAACCCTAACCTGAGATCCCTCAAACCCTAAGGGAGAACCATAACCCTAACCAGAACCAGAACCACCGCCTACATTTTGGTGTAAGACATTTTTTGTTTTGATTTCTTTTGGAATGAACTGTTGGTTTAAAATACTGGCATTTAAACCTCCTCTTTGGCAAGTCTCCAAACATGTCTAGGTCTGTTCTGTTTCCTGCACATTCTGGTTAATCTCAGTAACCTTCTCCTTGTGTTTGACCTGTACACACACTCAGATCCGTGTGATCAGGATGGGAAATGAGCCCTGAATGTGTGGGAATGTTTCTGAGCTGGACAAGTTCTTGTCAATTCTGATGAACTTCTCTTTTATTTTTACAGAGGATCTAAGTGGGGACAAATCTGGTGAGTGTATCCATCCTTTACTATATTTTGGTCCATTTGATTTACCTCCTAACCAATCAGCCTAATTATAATAAACCACCCCAGGCCCTGTAGCAGCTGGGGTGCAGGTTCAGGACAATCCCTATTTATCACACAGGAGCTTGGACCCTGCTGGACATCACTAATACTTACTCTTATGGCTCCCTAATATCCTTGCCTTTAGTTTTCCAAAGGGTTTCTCCTCATCCTAGTGAGAAAAAACTATCACTTCCCTCTGAATCCCAAGGATGGGCTGGGGTTGGAAGGGAGGCAAAAAATGGAAGCAAATGAGAGCATCATACACTATGTACATTTTGCAAAAAGAAAAGGAGTACTTGTGGCACCTTAGAGACTAACTAATTTATTTGAGCATGAGCTTTGCATCCGATGAAGTGAGCTGTAGCTCACGAAAGCTCATGCTCAAATAAATTGGTTAGTCTCTAAGGTGCCACAAGTACTCCTTTTCTTTTTGCAAAGACAGACTAACATGGCTGTTACTCTGAAACCTGTGTACATTTTGTTCCCCAATCCCATGGGACTAGAGCCCAAAGCATAAGGATAACATTACTGACAGAGAGTTGTTACCTAATTGTGATACATATTTATATATTATTCTCTTTTGTTTCTCCAAGAGGAATCTGGTGCCTTTGAATCTGGGCAAGCAAGTGGGGAGCTTAGCGGAGAAACAAGTGGTGAACCTAATGGACAAGTCAGTGGAGAGCTAGGCTGGGAGCCCAATGGGCAACCTATGGGTAAATTAATTCTGTTTCTTTCTGTTACTTTGTTACTGCTTTTACATTTCTCTACTTACCTGCCAAGAGAGACTGATAAGGTGAAAGAAGCCCCTAGTCCTCTCCTTACATCTGAATCCTCCACAATGCACTGAATTTTAGCCTCCTACTCACCCACAACCTAAGCAGCTCCCTGATTTGGCCCTCAGATAAGGACAGGCTGGGTCCAGTGCCATATGAATGCTCTCCTCAGCTGTATATGATCTATCCTGATATCTATGAATTAAAGGGACTCCCCACTGTAATGAGTGTTATCTGGGCCAACACCAGGGATTCAACCAGGGACCTCCACAGCTAAACACGAGTCATTACAGATTGAGCTAAAAAGACAGGCTCTCTAGCTCAGCACGCAAGCAGACTCACATTCTCTGTGGGTCAGGCTGAGAAAGAGGTTTAGTTCTTACTAAAATAATAATGATAATGCCTAGCTCTGATGGAGCACTTTTCATCAGTAGATCTCAAAGCACTGACTATGTAGAGTTTCCAGGATTAAGCCCTGATTTTTGTTCATTGTAGATCAATCCAGCCTCCCTGACGAAAGTAGCGGAAGTGGATCTGACCTCTGTAAGTGGATTCTGCTCTCTCTATTCTGTTGTGATTCCTCTTCTCCTCCAAAAAGATCACAGTCCTGCCATTTCTGCATGCACCATTTGACTCGTCTCTTCTGTCTTAATCAGAGGTGGCCTTGAAGGCTAAAGAATCCAGGATGAATTGTCACTGAGGTGTTCCCATCTCCGCCTGGCGTAAGAGGCCAGGGACTTAATTGCTGGAGGTGAGAGCAACTAGTGGTGGTTTTTTGTTTTGCCAAACCTTGTCACCCTGGGACGTGTTTTGCAAAACCAAGGTCTGTTTAGATTAAGGTTTAATTATATCTGAACCATTGGCATTCAGGATGGAATCTGGATACATGGTTCCAGTTTTGGTCTCTCCATATTAATCATTCATAAGGCAATGCAGGCTACCACAGCCCAGATGTTCTCCTTCTCTGAGGTCAATAGTTATGTGTCTGCTCAGCCTGGGATTTCTTGACACCAGGACATAAGGTCCAGATCACTGACTGCATCAGCTCATTACCTTTTTCCATCCTGCAGGTTGTTGTGGATTGGTAGCCCATTTTTATAAGGCCCTTGTAGCATCTGGGCAGTCCCCATAACATCCGTAACTTATAAAATCCCACTAAGAAAGATGCTAAATGGTGGGATTCCATATTGTACGTCTCTATCCAATCTAACTCTGTTTTGTATGGTGAAGGCTTGCTGGCTCCAGACCACAGAATTCAATTCTATTTTTACCCATGCATTATACCTTTTCTGTCCCTTTAGCATATGGAATAGACTGAGAGGGATGAAACTTCCCCCACTCCCCTTCACATCATCAGCTGCATTGAAGGAAAATCCAAGCCTCAAAATGAGAAGCACAACGCCACCCTTGAGAAATGAGTTTGTAGAGCATTAGCAAGAGTGCTGTTGAGTTTGTTAAATTTTTAATACTTGTGATTATTCTCTTAATAAAGTATTTAGGGTGCATTATATTCTGAAAAGTGACTATGTAAAAATGGTCACTTTTCATTCAGTAGCTCTGCTGTGTGCATGTATCAGACTCAGAGTGACTGACTTTAGTGACTAAAATATGTTTTTATGTGTGTTCATCCTGAAGAGCCAGCAGAGTTCAGAGAGAAGAAGCTGGAGTCTATGCCTTCTTCTGCATCATCCACAGAATTATTTACTGAAGTCTGGTTACACCTGTGCAAAGCCATTGATGGGAATGGGACTGCACAAGTTACTGAGGGCAAAATTTGGCCTGGAGTGCTTTTATTATTGGTGGTGACATACGGGAAAAAAAAGAACCCTGCTTGACTCTTAGAGCTCAGGCTGAGTTTGCAGAGTCAGCAGCCTGAAAAAACACCATTTTTATTTTTATTAATTTGATCTGAAGTCCCAGAAAGATTATATGCATGGAGCCCCACAATGCCATTTATATAGTCACTTTTCAAAGTATGACCATCCTCCAAGCTGTGATGAATTGGAAGGATCTATTGAGAGGTGATGTGCAATAATTAAACTGTGACCTCTGAGAATTCTCCAAGCAGGTGAACATTCTGCCGTTCTCTGAACTAATATCTATCCCTTGCTGATATAAAGATCACAGTAAATAAAAAATGACGAAATTAAAATGCTGATAGTGCGGCTCTCTATTGCAGCAGCAGATCACATCCTCTCCTTGCCTACGTAATGTTTTTTTTAAACTTTTTCACTTCATGATCTTACAGACTAGCAACAGTACTCCATATTACAATCTAACAATAAATAAAGCCCATAGTTGGGACACAAGTGATGTACATGTGATGCTAGTCAACCCTATTAATGATTGGTGAACAATTTTCTTGATCCACTTGCCTTGGGAGTCCATTCCTAAGCCTAATACATCTCACCATGAGGAAGCTTTTCCAGACGGCCAACCTAAAATTGCTTTTTATCCTTCTTTCATAAGACAATCTCTCCAGCCCATTACGTTCCAGTGCTGGGAACTTGTCCTGTCTTTCTTCCACATCCTGAGCTCCCAAAACCCTCTGCAACTGTGGGGTCACACAGTTCTCTGGCATCCCACCCACTGTCCATACTTCAGGTTTGGACTTCCTGCAGGGCTGAAGTCATCTGGCTGTCCTCTCTAACATATGGCCCCAGCCCTATCCTGTTTATAGGCTTGATCCATCAGCACTGGAGACCATGGAAGTTATATCATTGACTTCAATGAGACCTAGACCAGGCCTTAGTTTTAGGCATATATGTGTTCCTATGTAATACACGTTATACCAATATCACCATTGGAGTTGATCTAGAATCAATGCTAAAGATGTTTGTGGAATTTTGAGTCCACATTTCCTGCCTTTCCAATGGTTTTTATTTATATACTTCAATGAAAACAGGTCACTGGGTGAAATTTAATGGCCTGTGTTATACAGGAAGTCAGACTTGATCATCTAAGGCAGTGGTTCTCAAACTTGTTCCGCTGCTTGTGCAGGGAAAGCCCCTGGCGGGCCGGGACGGGCCGGTTTGTTTACCTGCCGCATCCGCAGGTTTGGCCAATCGTGGCTCCCAGTGGCCGCGGTTTGCTGCTCCAGGCCAATGGGAGCTGCTGGAAGCGGCGCGGGCCGAGGGACGTACTGGCCGCAGCTTCCAGCAGCTCCCATTGGCCTGGAGCAGCGAACTGCGGCCACTGGGAGCCACGATCGGCCGAACCTGCGGACACGGCAAGTAAACAAACCGGCCCGGCCCGCCAGGGGCTTTCCCTGCACAAGCAGCAGAACAAGTTTGGGAACCACTGGTCTAAGGACCCCTTCTGGCTTTAAATTCTATGAACCTACAGCTCCATGAATCTATTTTTAAAAATTAAACATGGTCCTGAAACATTTTAATGTCCTTTTTAATTGAACTCCTATCCATAAGTCTTAAACCAATCAGCCTAATAAAACATATCTCCATGATACATTCAACTGGGGAATTAGTTCTGGGCTCCCAATTCTTATGGACAAGCTGCTTCACAGCCCGGAACCTGTTCCCATTGGTAAACACTTATTGGCTTTAATGGTACAGGATCAGGCCCAGTGTTTCTCAAGTGGAGCTTAAATGGAAAGTCATAATTTCAAATAACAAAGCGCAGACACCAAGAAATTAAATGATACCATAAGAAATCATGGCCTAATACCCAGCACTCAGATTGTACATTTTGAAACATTCACACATCTGAAGAAGAATTCTCCATAAATCTTTCAATAATACCTAGCATTCAAGTTCTTTACCCTTTTCAAAATAATAAATTCAAATTAGTCCAATTTCAGTTTAAATTGTCTATTTCTTTTTCTCTTCTTCCACAAGGTTTGGTAATGGCAACTTTCCAGTAATACTGATTTAAATTAATTGAGATGTACTTACAGCTGTGGCTCATTTGGCTATGTGACTATTTGTTTTCTGTGTAATGTGTCTTTAAACCCCTAAGAACTCTGCTGTCTGCGGAGAGAGGCAGCAATTCTGTCTCTGGCTCTCTGGCTCGCTCTCTCTCTCTCTCTCTCTCTCTCTCACACACACACACAAACACACACACAGCTCTCTCAGGAAGGCTTTACTTTTGTTCTTTCATTTTTCATTTTCAAGTCATGGTGATGGACATGTTTCTGTTTGTATCTGTGGGGAAAAGCATTCATTTTAATGCTATCTTAACAAAATTGCATATCTATGAATATTAAAAACTCGGTGTCTCTTATAAAGGTACTGCATGATTGTTAGGGAACAAGAGGCAACCTCTTTCACTGCTCTGGTGAGCCTTTGCTGTAGGTCAGACAAACCCTGAATAATTGGTAGATTTCAGCTCCAAACTCAGAAGATCATAGAATTAGAAGGGAGAGCACGGGTCAGTCTAACCCCCAGATATCTGTCTCCACAGTCTCCCCTTTGAACTTTCTCTCCTTTGCCCCATTTCACCCTTCAGCAAATGCATTTGCCTCAGTAAATGACACTGGAAAAATGTCCAAAGGAAAACACAAGGGAAAGCCTTGTGCTGAGCACCACATGTGCACTGGGACTCAAGCATTGAAGCTATTAGCTGTCAGTAACATCCCTTTCTAAACTCCTCTCCCCATCACCTTGCCTGTTTTAATTTGTGGTAATTGGGGGGAAAGACGTTCAAACAGCAACACAGGAGGTGAACAAGTTTTGTGAAACTGCATGAACTGTGATGCAGGTGAGGCCCACGGAGTGGCACCAGCAGCTAACAGAAGTTCCTTTTAGTTCTTTCATTCTTAGAGATGGCACTTCTTTCTACCCCAGAAACATGACCAACCTTATGATTTGCAGGGCAAGAACTTGTGATTGGGGGAGAAATGGGGCGATGGGGTACTCTTCTCTCCAGACCTGCAGACAGACAGGGGATAAGAATAGGACAGGGTGAGGAATCCGTCCATAAGTTACAATAACCAAGTCTATACAAATAGAAGTAATAGTCTGTGAGGCTAAGAGAAGCAACCTCAATCTGCCTGATTTTTCTCGGTTTGTGGAGAAGGAAATACGTTCTGTTATTTACCCTCCTTTGGTTTCAGCCTCATAACGCTCCTGCTCGCTTCAAGAGCAAGGATGTAGCCCATGAAAAATGGGCTTTACCCCATGAGACAATGTGACACAATAAGAGAAGCACACGGCACCAGGCAGTGAGAAAATGGGAGAGGGCAAGTGGAGTGTAACACCGCCAGTCAGCAGGGGGACATGGCAACATGGGATAATATGGAGCCATTAGCAAAGAGACAGAGCAATACAAAGAGGGTGACCCCAGGTCACGAGCCAGGGAAGCTAGGCATTCAGCAGGCAGAGAGGGCAGCTGGAGTGTAAGTTCAGGAGAGTGATTACAGGGATGTAGGACATATCTACGCAGCAAAAGCTGTGCATGTGATAACCTACCTGAGCCTGCTTCAATCCAGCTCGTGCAGGTACCAATAGCTATTATTGCAGGCTTCAGCACAGTTAGTAGTATAAGCCTAGGACAGACCCTGGGTACATACTCAGCTCACTAGTCCACTCTGCAGCCTACACTGCACTGTCTTCACTGCTATTTGTACCTGCACTAGCTGGATTCAAGCTATTTCAGGTAGCCCAGCCATAGTCATGCTGGGCAGACATACATACGCTAGTTTAGTGAGAATCTACCCTGCGGTGCTGGCACAATTCTCCGTTCCCATCCCCTTTCACTGCAAGAGGAAAAAAATTTCCTCTCCTTTCTCTCAGTGTCTTCTCCCTGGGGCCATTAGCAGCTATGTAACAGAACCAGTCAGGCAAGATGAGGTCAACTTGTCAGTTTCTCATCACAGCTGGAAACACTGGTTTGCTCACTTTTTAATTCATGGTTCCAAGGTCCCACACTGACTGAAACAAATATTCCTCCCCAATGGCACAGGGTTACAATGCCACTCAATTGTTTTTTTGTGTGGGGTGAATCGGAGTGGGGCCCTGCTGGGGGGCAAGGACGCCATTTGCCCCACCCTTCAAGAAATATCTGAATTGGCACCACTGCCCCCTCATCCCCATACCTTCTCACCACTAGGCCTCCTTGAACACCCTGTTGCATCTGTAGGAAGCAGAGCCCTAGTGTTTAAGATCTGGGCTGTGCGAGTAAGAGAACTTTGGGCCAAATTCTGTACTCATTTATACTAAGGTAAATCTAGAATGACTCCACACCGATGCTTATGTTGGTGTAACTTATGTCGCTCAGGGGGGTAGAATAATCGTACCCTTGAGCGACATAAGTTACAGCAACATACTTGGTAGTGTAGACATAACCTCAGCATACAGCCACAAGAGGGCTTTTTCTATCACTGGCTATGTCTACACCACCACTTATGTCAGCAAAACTTATGTCGCTCAGGGGTGTGAATATTCCACCCCCCTGAGCAACATAAGCTACAGCACACGTGCTGTAATGATGCATCGGTAGGGGCAGAGCAGGACCACCACAGCGCTGTACGTGTAGACACGGCCACTGCAGAAGCCCCACCTCCCTGAGCGACAAGCAGCTGTAGCAGTGGAAGCCCTCATCCATCGATCTAGACGCGTCTGTGCCAGGATTTAGGTCAGCATAACTATGGTGCTCAGGGGTGTGGATTTTTCACACCCCTCAGCACTATATCAGTGGTGGCCTAAATGTTTAGTAGAACAGGCCTCAGTCTCAGAAAGGATTCAGGAGGCAGTTGAGACAGAACAGCCTCAGGGTAACTTTGACCATCGGTGACATCATGGGTCCGGCACAGTGGTTACTCCCCAGTGTCAGCTGTGTCCCCTTATGCAAAACTTCAAAGTGCCAGAATATTTCTCTCTCTGCTGAGCATCTGAGCTGTCTGGGAGTTTATTTAAGTATGGTTCAAGCTTCACTCATACAGACACTGCAGTCCTTGCTTCTCTTCCTGCCCTGACACCTTTCCCTACCAATCATGCCAAAGAAGGTGCTGATCCTCTCGCTCTGCTGGCTTCTGCTCCAACAGAAGGTAGCCCAATGCCATCACACCCTTAGATTAGGTGTCGTCTTGCAGGTGAGCTTATTCACCTTTTCACTTGAGCATAGTGGGTATAACAGTGATGTTACTTGTGGTGATGCTGATCTGACAGGCACATTTCCAG